AAATATTATATCTCTCTCCTCTCATGGCCCCCACCCAAACCCACTACTACTTTTTTATTATATCTTTCCTCTCACATTCATTACTTTTCAATAAACTATTAACCCCACTATCTTTCTTTAACAATTTTTTAATACTCCACTACCCCACTTAGCTCTTATTTTATTTAAGTCAATTAAATTGCCTAAAACTATGTACCGGTCAATATGTATCACTTAAAAAAACACGGAGGGAGTAAATGCACTCTTAAAAATTGTATAAAATTAGAAATTCATGACAAAAACGCGCATAAATCAGTGTAGTTAGTGTTTATATATATTATGATTGCATAGAGATCAAGGAGGGTCTAAACAACCAATGCAATAATGAAAAGGTAAACAATTATAATCCATATACATGGTGATGAGCAAGGGTATAGTAGTCTATTATAATTGTTATACGTAGGGTGAAACTATTAACCTCTAAAGAGTGAAGGGAGGGGCCAACTATTGGCTTAGCTTAATTTGTAGCTTAAGTTCATGCATATGATGGATCCAATACAGATATTATCTAACCTCATTCATTCCATAGTTCAACAATTCGCTTAATCATTTTTTACATAAACACATGTAATGCAATGACCCGGGGCAATGTCCGGGCTACCAACTAGTTGTATAGTATATAATATTTATGGGTTTTATGGACTTGACATGTCATTACTTATGATAGTGAGGGATAGCTCAAGTGCTTAAAGCTTCTCTCCTAGTTTCAGGAGATCTTGACATCGATTCTCACTCTTGCCCTTATGGCTCTCTAAATGGCAAGAAAAAAAACATGTCATTACTTATGTAACTCTAAGTCACGGTAGAAGAATGAATATGACACATGGGAATATCATATCATCGTCTCTTTGAGTTTAATAAAATTATAAATAGATATATATATTGTTTTAATTTTATTTTTTATTAAAAAAGTATTTAACAATCTCATATAGAGTATGTAATAGCAAAATTAGCAAAATAGGATTATAAATTAGGTCAATAATAAAGATGATTAAAACTTGTTAGGACCTGGTTCACATACAATAATATTATTGTAGGTATATACTATACGCGCACAAATAATATTAATTGTATTGAACATAGTTACCCTAATTTTAATATATTGAGCTTTATTTAAACTCGTGTGACCTTTAATATTATATATTGTGAAGCTGAAGTACTTATATGTCAACTGATGCTATGTTAAAATGATCTTATTTTTAATATAGTGATCTTTTTTTATTCATATTGACCTATATACAAACATTCAATTAAAAAAAAATTAACCTCTTATGATCTTTATACAAACACAATGATTTTTATAACATAATAACCTTTATTTTAACATAGCAATCTTGTAAAAATAAAATAAAATAATAATAATAATAATAATAATAATAATAATAATAATATAGCGATTATAGTGTCCCTAATAATAGTGGTTCATAATAAATAATTAAATGTGAACTAGGTCTATTTAAGAATTAATGATCAATTAAGATGACCCTCAAATTAGTGGTGATCATGGGTCAAGTTAACCTGAAGGCAAAAATATCAAGTCGCTTGATAGGGTCGAGACTGGTTTGTGCCAAGGTTTAGGCCAAATTTGTTTCCTCAAACCCCGCAATAATAGATTGACTCTAGATGGCTTTTTGGACCTGCCAAATAGTTAAAACAAAAATTATAGAAAATTGCTTGCCCAAGGCTTTTGAGAAAATTAAAAAATTGTTTTGGGGCGAAACTTTCTACCTAAAGTCCGCAATAAATTTGGTCGGGCTAGCAGGTCGGGTTGATTTGGTTTGTAATCAAGATTCAAGTATGAAATCTGGCTAAATATTGTGATAATCGATGTGATATCGATATGTTCAAGGAGAAGGCAAACGCCTCAAATGCGTGGCGTCATGGCGTGGTATAATGAGTAGTATTGATATCGTCCGTAAAGGCTTGAATATGGCTGTTGGTAATGGAAATCGGACCTTTTTTTGGCATCATAGGTGGGCTTGTGAGGACTCCCTTATGAGCTATGCTAGTGTTGAACCTCCCTTAGAGATATAGGATCGTACAGTAAGTGAGTGCTGGGATAGAATCACAGGGTGGAAGATGGAGGAGTTTGCTGAATTTCTCCCTGAAGAGATTCTCCAAAAGATAGCAGCGTTTGAATTGGAAGACGATGAAGATGTTGTTGATACCATTTCGTGGAATGGATCTTCTTCTGGTGGCTTCACTCTAAGCTCGGCCTTGAACATTGTTAGAGAAATTGATGGATTTAAGGATGATGTGAAAGATGGTTGGGCGGACATCTGGAAATTGCCAATTCCCCAAAAAATCAGATTTTTCATATGGATGGCAATTCAAGATCGATTAATGACAAATGTGGCTAGATTTATTCGATCTATAGCTGATGACCCTAGATGTGCTCTTTGTGGTGATGCTGAGGAAAATGTTTACCATATCCTCCGGTTTTGTCCTGCTGCTAGGAATATTTGGAGCAAATTAGGAGTTAAACCAGAGAATATGGATGATGGTTTGAATTTAGAACAGTGGATGCTACTGAACCTAGATAAGAGACGAGCTGACATGGGAACTGAGTGGCCACGAATGTTCGCAGTGAGCTGCTGGTGGATTTGGAAGTGGCGCAACGCCAGATCATTTGAAAGGGAGCCTTCGATACCTTTTGATCAGGTATCTTTCTTACTAGCTAGGGTGGGAGACATCAAACGGGCAATGGAAAGAGAGAGTATTCAAAATGGTGCTACAAGAAAACTTCGAGTTGAAAGGCTAATTAAGTGGAATTTCCCACGTGAAGGATGGGTTCGACTCAACACTGATGGAGCTTCAAAAGGAAACCCGGGAGCAGCAGGGGCAGGGGGTATTATTAGAGGTCATAGGGGTGAACTTCATGAAGTATTTGCAGTGTATTGTGGGTGTTATACATGCACTAAGGCTGAGTTAATTGCAGTTATGAAAGGTTTGGGGGTGGCTTGGGATGGTGGCCATAGAAAAGTCCAGCTTACAGTAGATTCGGAGGTGGTTGTGCGCTTGTTGGTTGAGGAAACTCCTACCAACTCTCCTTATTTTCACATCATTCGTCGTTGCAAGGCTCTTATCTCGATGCGAGATTGGGAGGTGACTATTTCTCATTGCTATAGAGAAGCTAATCGGGCAGCTGACTGGTTAGCTAACTATGGTGTGAGGGCGACGGAGAAGTTCACTCTGTTTGAGGCGGTCCCTAAGGATCTTCATGCCGTTTTATTAGAGGACCTTAGTGGAATGACTTGGGCTCGGATGGTGCCAAAGGCTTAGCTTACTTGGCTTGAGGGTGCCATTTTTATTGCTTTTGTTTTCCTGTTTTTGCTTTGTTTCTTGTTTGTGTTTTTATTTTTGTCGTTTTGTCCTATTTTTGTTCTTGTTTTGGGGCTTGCCCCTCTTTTTCACCAAAAAAAAAAGTATGAAATCTGGCTAGTGTAGAATTACAACTTGATTCATAATACCACATGTTTGGTTTTGCTAGTAATGAACATTTTCTTTTAAATGACAACTGAATATATGGTATAAGCAATACTCAGCCCACATGGATTCATAAAATGGAATAAATACCCACTTTATTGAATTTCTTTAATTAAAAATTAAAAATTGAATTTCCAAAAATTAAAATTTTCTTAAACAAATTTATCAATCAATCAATAACATAATACTAAAACAAACACCAAGAATGACACATGTCACTCTTGATGTTATTTGTTCTCCCCTTCAAAACTTTTTCCTTTGTATTTTTTATTCAGTTCCTTAATTGTGATTTACTTCTATAATTGTGATACACTTCCTAAAAAAATATTCACATATTTTTCATATTTTTATTGTATAAAATATTATTTTACATCTTTTACTTTGTTTTTTGGTGATCTACCTTTGGTAATTTGGTATAATCCGAATTCAAAACCCAATTTTCAGTATAAATTAAGATTCAAATCTTTTCAATTTCATTTAAAAATATGAGGATTATATTTTGGTAAACTTTAAATTAACATTATAACTCATTATAATATTTTGTTAAACCCGTACGTGACACGGGGATATTATCTAGTACTATATTAAATTTGAGTTTTTTCGATCTAAACCCTAAAACCGTACCTCATGGGCCATACTAAGGGCCTGTTCTCTTCCGTTGAAATTCAGTTCAGTTCAGTTCAGCTCTTAATTTACGTCTAATGATATTGCTAATGATATAAAGCCAAATTTCATTCTTTTAAGCTCTTATTACAACGACGACGACGACGACGACAACAACAACAACAACAATAATAATAATAATATTAACAACAACAATAATAATAATAATAATAATAATAATAATAATAATAATCAATAAGTAATAAATAATAATAATAATAATCATCAATAAATAATAATAATAATAATAACAATAATAATTGAAATAATAATACTAATAATAATAATCAATAAATAATAATAATAATCATCAATAAATAATAATAATAAAACAATAATAATAATAATAATAATAATAATAATAATAATAATCAATAAATAATAATAATAATAATCATCATCAATAATTAATAATAATAATAATAATATTAATAATATGTACATTTGTATATACACATATATATAGTAATAAATAATCAATAAATAATCAAAGATCACTAATCCGTAGTTAAAAATCACTAATTAATAAGTTCAGTTCAGTTCATTTGAGCTGAGTTCAGTCAATCGGAACAGGCCCTAAGGTTACTTGAACCAAACACCCCCTAATTGGGTTAATTCCTTACCAAAGAGCCAAAATGGTAAAGTGATAAAGTCAACCCTCTAAATTAGTCAAATGCTTTTTTTATTTTTTATTTAGGAAAATTTGATTCTAATAATCCAACCTTTAGGCGATTCATTTTTATTAATCCGACCTTTTGATTATTCTATAATAATCCAAGCTTTTGGGGGTGTTCTATTCTATTAGGCCAAGCAGGTCACCTAACCTACAATACTAAGTCACCTTCCACGTGTCATATTTTCATTTGTTCAAAAAATATTTTTGTTTTTTTATAAAAAAAAATTAAAAATTGAAAAAAAATAATAAAATATCCTTTTTTTTCATCTTCTTCCTCCCTTAATCCCTTTCCCAACCTCCATGAATAGCTCCCATTTCCGGCTAAACCTCCGCCCACCACACCTCAATCTCCGGCAGCAAGGAACCCCACCCCATCAGCAATCACCCTGGTCGAAACCCAGAAACACGCAACCACCTCCGTTAGAATTCACCGGAAACCACCCAAAAAATCACCGCAGTCAATTCGTTAAACCCATTTTTCTCGGATCTACCATTTTCGATTCTTTGACCCTTTGATCTTAACTGGGGTTTTCCCCTAATTTCACTTCAATGCTCAAGGAATGTTCAGCCAAAAAGCTTACTTCATTTCAATATGCAATTCATTTTTTTTATTTAATTTTTTTGTTTGACGAACTGTAATTCAATCTTAGCTAGTTGGGTGTTTTAATTTGTTTTGTTTTGTTTTTTAATTGGTGGGTTTTGGTCGATTTTTGATTTTATTGATGATGTGAATGTTGGGTTTGTTGTGATTTTTTATTGTTGCAATTTGTGTCGATGTTGTTGTGGTTGGTTGCTGCTTGCGGTGGTTTAGAGGTGGCGTTATGGTGGTGGTGAGAAGTTACCACTACCGTTGGTTGTGGGCAAAGTGGGCGGTGGTTGCGAATTAGTTGAGCGGCTGTTGTTTGAGGCTACGCTGTTGAATTGGTGCTTTGGCTGAAGTGTGGGAAGTGGTGCGGTGGTGATGAGGGTTGTGTGGTGGTTTCAGGCAAAAGAGAGAGAGGTTGCGTGGGTGGAGCAAAAAGGTTGTGGCGTGGTGTTTTGGTGGCTGGGGGTCGTTGAAAAGGCACCAACCCAACGACGGTGGTGCTGCCCTACTGCGGTGGTGGGCTTGGTGGCCGTGGGGAGGTGGGCTGCGTGGGCAAGGCTTGAGAAGGGGGAGATATGAAGGTCTTTAATTGAATTAAAAAAAAGGTTAAAAAAAAAAAACCGGTTCATGAGGTAAGTGGTCAATTTGGCCTGATAGAATAGAATGGGATATAAAGCTTGGATTATTGTAGAATAATCAAAAGGTTGGATTATTAAAAATAAATCGGTTAAAGGTTGGATTATTAAAATCAAATTTTCCTTTTATTTAATCCCAATAAAAAAACTCTTGTTACCAAACAAAGTCAAAAAGAAAAAGGAAAAATAAAATATAATTGGCAAGTGCAATTGAATCTAATACAGTAGAAAAGATATTTAAAACTAGGAAAATACAAATACTGTAGGAATCTTTATTCCTTAGGTTTAATTGGTTTATGTTGCCGAACAAGTGCACACCCTTAAACTGTCAAAAAGTCACCGTCGTCATCGTCATCCACAAACCACGCAATCCCTTCATTCCTTAAACTTTACGGAGTACTATTTTTTTCATTCCTTTCCCATTTCATCATCTCCACTTCCTATGCTCACTTTCCCCGGCGACGGATTTTCCGACGTCGGCCTATTTTCCGTAATTCTTCAATTGTCACAAGGTCTGTTTTCTCTTTTTCATTATAATTTCTATTTTATTTGATTTTACAGTAGTCTAATTCTCCCTAGTTTTCAACAATTTTGATTTCACAATAAGATTTTATGAGTTATGACATAATCTTTTCAGTTTCGTATTGTTTTTGTCTCTTTTCCAATCAATTACATAATACTATATTAGGGAATTAAATCTGTTATTCGTTATTATTTGTAAGTGTGACTAACACAAACACTTTTCTTTTGTAAGATTTGTCTTTTTGTTAATTGTACTTGTAATGACTAATGTCATAAACAATGCCTTTACTTATACGTTCTCATTTTATTTGCCCTCATTGTTAATTTTTTTTTTCACTGAGAGACATCAGAAAGAGAAGAGACAAAATTACCGCAAAAGTTAAATTATAAACCATAATCAAAAATAGAAATGAGACAAACTAAACAACCTTAATTGTTAATCCATAACACTAAAATGGGACAAATAATAAGAAACGGAAATGAGAATAATTAAATTCCCAGTTAGAATTAAAAAAAAAAAGTATATTTTCTGGTAGGATTGGTCCCATACTCCCATTTGTCTCGTTGGATAATTAAATTTTCTAAATTTGCAGTCCACAATTTTCAAGGGTAACACCATTTGTCGTAACCATTTTATGCTTTCTGATCTTTTACGTAACTCATGCCCATGACTCAATGTTGGAACTATCTAAAGCGTCGATTTCATCCTTTCTTTTTTTCTTTTTCTTCTTCTTCTTCTTCTACTACCTCACATTTATTTTTCTTCTCTAGCAATTTCCGTCGCTTTTTCCTTGAATTTTTTTTTTAAAAATTAAAAGTGGGGATGTAATAAATGAATTTAATTTGTACTCTTGGATTCTGTACATGAAGAATTGCAACTTCTTATCAAAGTATGTTTCTTTACTCTGCATTTTGCACCTCTTTATTTTCCTAATCTTACTTTCTATTTTTTTTATGTGTGAAACTATTTGTTTATTTATTATTACTTGTGTTTAAGTTTTATTTGATTAGTTAGTGGGGTTAGTTTAGTTAGTTAACCAAAACTGGAGATCAAATCCCGTCTCGAGCATATAATATTTAATTATATGCAGCTGTACACAGAACAATAAAGTTTTATTATTATGTTGTGTACTTGTTGATGAACAATATGAGAAATTGAAGAAGAAACCATTGTAATTTTGAACTAGTTATGGAGGGTAGGTAAGGCACTACTGATTTTAACTAGAATTCCAGTTTTCTGAGTATTGTTTAGCTTCTTATCTATTGAGGTTTTGTAATTTTGGAAAAATTAACCTAATTTTAACTATGAATTATTATTTTTTAGACTTAGATTCGAACAAATTGCGAAATTCCGATAAATACAAGTTTAATTAGGATGTTAGTCTTTTTATTTTATTTATTTATTTTTTTATGTTTTGTAAAATTGTCTACCAATTTTGATAGCTGGAGTCTTTCTTATGAGCTTAAGGTGTTCATCATGTATTTGCCAGTTCCTTGATGAAACATTAGTCAACTGCATTTGATTATTAAGCATAGGATGTTGTAACGAAAAGTAATGCAATGGCAATTTAATTGAATCTGTCAATGATAAATAACAAACCTAGTAATTTGAATTGTGCTCGTAGTGTGTTGAAGTTTCGTTAGATACTTGCTTGGTTGCTTCAGTTATGCTGATTGTACTGAAATGTTGCATTTGACAGGCATTTGAAGTCCTTACGTGAGCTTTTATTCACGGAAGTATGATTGGTGATGTGGAAGATGAAGAGTATTACAACAGGCCGCTTGGACGGTGGCCTGTTTTCGTCTATGGTGTTGGCCACATGCTCAATGACATTACATCTGCCTGTTGGTTTACTTATTTATTGGTCTTCCTGACAGATATTGGACTTTCACCAGGGTATGCTTCTATATATAGTTTGTTGTTTCATTTGTTTACTTTCTTTTAAAAGGGTTTTTATATCGAAGGGCAAGGAAGAGGGTTTATAATTTAGATTGGTGTTGTTTTCATCATTTAAAGTTTATATTATTGTGGAAGAATAGCTTAGAAGTTACAAAATAGCATAGGTACAGATGAAATTTTATTTTATTTGATTAATCGATGTTAAATCATTTATGACTATTATAAGAATTTATGAGGCATGAATTATGATTTTGTCCCTGTTTTGCAAGTGATGAGCTCTTTTGAAGGATGACATATTGGTCGTAATAGATGAGACTCTAGGACAAAAGTAAAGGAGATATTATGTAGGTTGTTTTATTCATGCGATTGCTCAGAGGCTACTGGCATTAAAGCGCTTTGTTTGATAAGGCAGTTGGTAGCCCTGCTGCTTTGCAGATATGAAAAAGGGGAGTCCACTATAAATAGTGGATGTGTGTTACAAACTAAGAGTTGCAAGCTGTAACATAATTTTCAAAATGTTGGTTTATTTAACTTCGTTGAAAATGGATGATACCCTTCATTATGGTGTTAATTAATAAACAGTACTATTCTAATCTCTCATATGCCATACAGCTAAACTAAATCGTCATTCTAATTGCTCCCCCTACGACGGGAGTTGCTTAGATGTTTGTATTTATTGTTATTCTAATTTTGATATTGTTTTGATTTATTGCCATATGTCTAAGATAAGATGTATATGAACTATGAAGTGCTTGTTCTTACGAAGTTTGTATGCGTCAATGATTTTAGTTGATGATTCTACCTCTTTATCCTTAACTATGTTCACCCTTTTGGTTGTGTTACATTTGTATATGATCCATATATGTCGATTATAACTTACTGTATGTTTACAGGAATGCTGCAATTGTAATGCTTAGTGGACAAGTGGCAGATGGATTCATGACTGCATTTTCTGGGGAACTGGTATTTTATAAACCTATTTTACAGCTTTAAGTTGCTTTAGTCATCATATATGCCTTTTTTGACATAGATTCTTGTAGAATTAGTATTAGCTTATTAATTGATATATCTTGGTGGAGGCAGAAGTGAATTGCTTAATCTGATTGTATAATTATAGACAGCAGTTGGTTTAAAAGATTAGGTAGTAGTACTTGCTAAGAAGCTGGACTAGATGAGAATTTGAGGACTATTTTACAATCATTTCATATTTATTTTCGTGTAAAAGAAAATGCTAATGGAAATATTAAGTAATACGAAGACACTTGCTCAACATGTAGCTATCCTTCTCATTACACCTTTCTTTTACTAGAAAGTGTCACATGTCGTAAAGTTCAAAATAACCTTGATTCTTTGTGATATAGTTCTGGTCCTGATGACAGGAAGCAACGCACACTGTCCACCTGGGTTACCTACATTGTGCTATCTAAATAGTGAATTTGGAACACACAGGGAGAAGGCTGTAGAGTTCTTTGTTGACACATACAGACAAGATCCTAGGAATGTATGGAATTGGGGGGATGAAGTTGAGTAATGGGAGGATTTGATGCTTTTTTTGAAGTATGTACTTCTCTTTAATTTCTTGTGACAATGTGAAGTGGCTGGCATTGATTATAGAGGGCTTAAATAATCGTGAAATTGGGTGGCGAAAGGAAGTGATGATGGAAGAACTTCAGTATGCATGGTTGGGGATTCAGGAGGTGAAAATGTGCTTAAACTAGTAGTGTGTAAGAAAATTATTGGTTCAGTCAACTAAAGAATAGGTTCATATCAAATCATCATTTTAGTTAGTTTAGGCTACTCAAGAGTTCTAACTAATAGTATTCAAGTGTTTCCTGTTATTTTTATATTTCTTTTATCGCTTGGAAGGCTGGTGAACATAGTACTTGTCAATCGAAAGCAAACAACTGTCATGTTTTTTAGACTGTAAACGCATACAGTTTTGCAGCTTTCATTTGTGATGTTCATTTCTTAGTTATGTCTCATAACATGTGTCATGTTTTTTTTTGAAAATGTTTTTTTTTGGTGAGGATCTTAATGAGGGTTGGTGGTGTTAAAATCATGACATAATTTGATTCAGGGTTTTAGATGCAATTAATGGAATTGTGGGGAACCATTTTCTAGCATTTACTTGGGATCATATGCATATTAATAACATGAATTGCATAATGAGTATAGAATTACAACCTTTGATGTGTGCTTTCCTCTAACTTTATATAATCCTCTTTTAGAGATCAATAGCTTCAAACACAACTCTTCTATTTATACCATGAGTATGAATGCAGATCTTAACATTTGCTAGAATAGGAGAATCAAATCACTCTCTTACTTTTGATGAAGGGGCGTTGGCTAGATAGTTTAATTTGGCCTCAGTTTTTCTTGTGTACCGTGTATCTTATACATAATACATATGTTAATTATATAGCATAGTTAAGCAACAAGAGGAAAATCTAATTATCCTAATTTACCTATTTTGGTCGCCTGGTCGGCCACACCAATGCTTATGTGGGCAATGGTGTTTATCCAAACTCATACAGTCATACTTGTTGTGTGGCCTATAGGATTCAATCATAATTGTTGACGGGCTCAACAATATTAGCTCATTGATCTTAGTTGGCTTCTAGCACAGTATTAAGACCACCTAAAATGATGAAATTAATATTTCTTTAATGAAAATTAAATATATCTAGTGATTTCATGCTTGACTGAATTACATTTCTTTTAGTTGGTCCTAAATTTGTGATGTGTTTTATCTGAAAGCTTGTTTGTAATTGAATTACTTGCTCACTTGTACCATTAGTGAACTCGTCTTTGTATTTTTTTGTTTCTCTGTGTGCTAGATAGACCGGTTTGGACGCTTCAAAATTTGGCATGGCGCTGGTTCTCTGTTGGTTGCTGTTTCATTTTCTTCTGTTTTTGGTGGTTGTATACCGTGCAAAATATTTGGTACAGACTCATCTGCTTTGGAGACAATTGGATACAGCATTTTTGCAGCTATCTTCAATATTGGTTGGGCTGCCACTCAAGTGTCACACATGTAAATTTAAATACTCTTTATGCATCAAGTTTATAAATACTTGCAAATGGTAGTATCGTTTGTTTCCAAACAGATATATATTAGTTTTTCTTTTATGCATGAAAGGTCTATGGTGAACTGTATGACGCTGAATCCGACAAGCAGAGTTGTGTTAGCCAGCTGCCGTAATGCATTTACTATGGTGACGCTCTTAACTAGAGTTGTTTGTTTTTTTGAAGCATGCATGCTCATGCTCTGCTTTGTCTTGATATAATTTTTTTTTTGGCCCCAATATTTGTTTTCAGATTGCAAATTTAAGCTTGTATGCTGTGGCTTTTGTTGTCTTTGGTCTTGGTAAATCAAGGACCCATGATGAGATAGAAAGCCAGGTACGCCTATGCAGGCATTACCTTTCTGTTAACTGGTGCATCTTTTCGGAATATCTTGCTGACCATCTTCCTTTCACAGTATCGTTGGATTGCTTATTCATCAATTTTTATCGGGTGCTGCTTTGTCTGCATCTTCCTAATTGGAACTAAAGAGCCCAGGTGTGTATTTGTTTGACTTGGTTCTGTGTATTGAGGATTAATCTTTGCATGAGTATGATGCTTTATTCATTGGCCAAACCCATAGGCTCTATATGTTGAGATATTGCCCCTATCGGAAAATTCATATTAAAAGAATACAATGCTTTCAACTTGTCAAAATATTAATTATAATATCTTAGATAATTAGAGTCCTAAGGCTCAAGGATCAGCATGGTGCTATTATATTTTTTATTTTATAGAAATTTAGTCTACTATGTTTATGTATACCATCTTTGATCAAGTGTCCCCCTTACCTTTTGCTCGTTTTTTTACCCTCTCTGTAGGTTGAAAGATGGCTTTCCAGGAAAAGTTTATGCTAGAGTTGAATGGACTTATTGGTTCCATAAAGTTCTATACTACCAGGTTGCTCTTGTATATGTACTGACTAGACTGGTGACTAATGTCTCACAGGTGAGTAGGAATCTCCATCATTTTTTTTATTTGAGATATAAAGTTTATCTTTATAGAATTGTTGTCTTGTAAGGATTTTCCTGGCAATTTCCCCCCGAAAGGAGTCAGTTGTCTGTTGTATGACTCTGATTTCGTGTTTTTATGTGTCTGTCAGTCATTTCTAGCCTTTTACGTCATCAATGACCTACAAATGGCTCAATCTTCAAAAGCTCTGGTAATATTAGCTACATCTTCATATGGCACTGTTTCTTTTCTTTTTTTTTTTTTTCTTTTTTTTTGTTTTTTTGGGGGTTTCCCTGTTATACTCAAACTCATGTAATTGGTTAAACTTTATAATGTGTAGGTGCCTGCTATCATATACATTTGCAGTTTTATCATATCCATTATTCTACAGGTTCAATCTGTACCCCTTATTGGATTCTCTTAATTATATTGCTACTAAGCACTTGGAGAGTAATATGTTCTTGTTTATAGGAGATGTCATGGACTGGCTACCGTCTGAAGACATTCTTTTCTATTGGAAGCGTACTTTGGATATTTTGCGGTGCAGCAGTTTTATTTTTGCCTCTGGGTTTGAGTGGTTTAATGTATATCATCTCCGTTATTATTGGCATTGCAAATGCCCTAATGATGGTATGTCTTGAATTCTGTTTCATGCACAATTCAGTGTTTAATATGTCTTTGGTTTTATATGTGAATATTGAAATCATTGTGAGCTCACACATCAATTCAATTCCTCTTGAAGCTTGGACCATAAAAGGACTTTTCCTATTTTTGCAATAGTACTCGGGTACCTGAATTGTAGAAGAGTTATTCAACACTAACATAACCGTGTTTTAGAGAATGGAAGTAAAAGAAGGGTTATTGTTTGTCTGAAATTTCTTTCTGTGTTATATCTTATGGATGTTAAGATATCTTTCTTATGTATCACCCATGATTACCCTAATAACTTCTACTTTCACAATTTTGTTGCAGGTCACCGGAATAGGCATGCAGAGTGTTCTTGTTGGACAAGATCTTAATGGAAGTGCTTTTGTCTATGGATCACTGAGTTTTATGGACAAAATGGGTTGTGGAATTGTGTTATACATTTTGGAATCATATCATAGTAGTAAGTTGTTTATATCCAGTATATACCCTATTTACTCTCCTATGGTGCATGCATTTACAGATGTCTGAAAGCTTAAAAATGATATTCTTGGTCTATCTACAGATGTCTCCTCAAATGTTGGAGAGCTTCATTCGTCTATATATAGCTTCTCAGTTACACGGTATGCAGTAGGTATTGTTCCTGCAATTTGTGCTCTTATTGGTGTGGCAGTAACATATAGTATGAAACTTGAAACTCCTCCAAAGCCTATATCAGAGCCCCTTCTGGCTTAGCACGGTTCAAGAATTGGTGCAGCATTGACACTGAATTTAGAGATAATTATGAAGCGAAATATTTTTTGACACTTGAAATCACGTCTCTTCTCATGTACAGTATATGATAAATCATTTTGTAGTGCTTAATCACGTACGAGTAATTCATTTGCAGAACTCTAATTTCAATTTGTATATGTGATATGAAGTTCCAATGTTTGGTCATATAAGTTGTACTTGTAGGCGTTATGGCCATTAGTTATCTGAAACTTTTGATGCCTATATTCAGTTTATTGTGTTGTGACTAATTGGTTCTTTTCATCAATCTTTTTTTTATCTCATAATGAGAGTTCTTTTCTCGAAAAATGAAGCTTATTACACTTCCTTTGCAACCTATTCATTTCTCCTTAATCGTTACCCTAGGCCATGTGGCATCCTTAATATTGAAATAAGTCATTAAAGACAATTAATTAACTAATATTAAAATAAAACATTGTTAATTTTTTTTTAAAAAAACAAAATATTGCTGACATCATCAATCCTTAAATTATTTTACATGTTTTTCTAACATTAAATTTTTTTTCTCTATTTTTTATGAGTGATGTCAATCACAACATTGTTTATTTATTTATTTTTACGGTGTGTTTGGATGAAGAAATGGGAAAGAAAAGAAGGGGAGGGAGGTGAAGGGGAGCGAAGAGAAAGGAAGAGGAGTGAAGAAAGATGAGTTTTCCTTTCAAATCTTTCCATTGTTGGAGAGATTAATTTCTTACAATTTAATCCTTCTATGTCACCCCCAAGGCCCCCAATTCCTTCCCTTCCTCATTTATTAGCCAAATGAAAGATAATCAATCCCTCCATTTCCCTTTCCTTCCCTTCTTTTCTCTCTATTTCCTTCAATCCAAACAAAGTCTTAATTAATCTCTACACCATACTCCCTCCGTGTTTTTTAAGTGTTACACTTACAAAATCCCGCCGTGTTTTAATAAGTGTTACACTTCCTTTTTGGCAAAAAGCTACATTAAAATATTATATATATCTCTTCTCATGGTCCCCACCCAAACACACAACTACTTTTTTATTTTTTTTATTATTATCTCTCTCCTCTTACATTCATTACTTTTCAATAAACTATTAACACCACTATCTTTCTTTTACAAATTTTAATACTCCAAATACCCCACTTACCACTTATTTTATTTAAGTCAATTAAATTGCCTAAAACTATGTGCTGGTCAAATTGTAACACTTAAAAAAAACACAGAGGGAGTACAATTTTTCTACAAAAACAAACTAACACTCTTTTTTACACATATTATAAAACTTTATTTTATGCATAATAATAAAATTAATTAAAAATAAAAAAAATCCCGCGAACAACTAATCAAAGACACAGTACTACATTTGCATATGAATTCTATTTTTATCTTATACATGGTAGGATACAAACTTAGAAATAAGTTAAGAGGATGTTTGGTAAGAGTAATTTTTTGGTTGGAAATGGATTCAACCAAATCATGAGTTATGAGTACATGACCGTTTCCAAGTAGATGTTTGGAAGGCTTGGGTAACAATTACCATTATCCTTACCTATCTAAAACCTGGTAACAGTTACCCTTACTATCCTCAACAAAAATAAAGGGAGATAAGCTTAAATGATTCCTTTTTCATGATTAAACCAAATAAATGGGAAGGTAAGAGTTAAATGATTTCTTTCATTCCTCTAATCTGTTTCTTTTCCACTCTAATTGAGAGGATGTTTGGTAAGAGTAATTTTTTGGTTGGAAACGGATTTAATCAAACCATAAGTTATGAGTACATGACCGTTTCCAAGTAGATATTTGGAAGGCTTGGGTAACAATTACCATTATCTTTACCTATCTAAAACCTGGTAACAGTTACCCTTACTATCCTCAACAAAAATAAAGGGAGATAAGTTTAAATGATTCCTTTTTCATGATTAAACCAAATAAATGGGAAGGTAAGAGTTAAATGATTTCTTTCATTCCTCTAATTTGTTTCTTTTCCACTCTAATTATTCATATCAAGAGCCCGAGTTTAAATTAGTTTGACATTTTTTTTTTGATAAAAGCAAATTATATTAATAAAATCAGAGTTTACAAATTGCAAAATAAAAATTAAAACTCACCACTACATGACTTTTAACATTTAAGCCTTTACAACTTTTAAAACTAAAACCAAAATTACATAACTGGGGTTAGCCGGATACGTTGCATATTAGGACCTCCTTATAGAAGGAAGAGTGGATACCTACTTCAAAACACAAAGAGAGCATAGAGTATAGAAACTGTTCGATCATGGCTAGATTAACCTTACTTGATGGGATCAACTTATCAACAAGTAAGGCCTTTAAGGAGATCACTTGGACATGTGACCTTTCATTCATAAGCTGTTCTTGATGGCAAGACAGCTTTGACAACGTCGAGGCTCGAGAAACCCCAAAATAAAGTTTGGGCGCCTGTTTCGGATAGAAAATTTCAAGAGTAATGGTCACAATGATCACTACAAAGAAGGGGACAAATTAGATTTTGTTTGACACTGATGTTAATCTGCTTTGTTTAATTAGATTTTGCTATGCAAACCTACAGGACGAGCATGTCGATGCAGGTAAGGGTACGTCCACCAGTTTCGGGGATTTCCCTGAGTGGGACAAGCATACTCTGTACTTCGCGCTGCTTTTCACATTTCGGAGCGCGTTCGGTGTGGCATTATCGATGACTGAGTTCGTTGCCGTGGCTGAGGCAACAATGATATTGGGCACCTGTACGATACCTACTTTCGTAACAACGAGTAGCTGCTCACACTTTGGAGTCATGCGGCTTGACTTCTCAAGCCTCAGCTCCAAACAACACAGGCTCTTTTATTCTTGCAGACAAGGCGTTTCTTAATTTAAGCTATGGTGGAGTTCTTTTGGGACACCACCAACACGTTTCATTTTCCTTGGGGTGAGATGACTATCACTTCTCTCGACTTCTCTGTTATCACCGGATTGGAGTTCCGGTCGACTACTGTTCCTCTTGGTAGGGACCTCACTTTTTCCTCGCCTGAGGTATTTGAGTTGCTAGGTCTTATTGATATCCGAGCTCAGGTTGAGTCTAGGTCGGTACAGATAAGCTGCCGATCCATTCGCAGGTCTCTGCTAGTGGAGACCTTCCGAGATGATGTGACCACTTTGGAGCAGAGGGTGTGCATCTTTGTCTCGATTCTTTTGTCTAGGAGTTTCTCCCCGGACAAGCGTAGCCGAGCATTGGTCTACTACCTTCCTACTCTTCGCAACCTTAGGCGGGTCGGGACTTTTTACAAGGCCAACTTAGCCTTACACTGACTTCCTGCTTGGATTGCAACTCGCTTGTCACCATTAGAGCTATGAGGAGGAGGTCACCCTTTCTAGTGTCTGGAGGATTGTAGAGGTATACTCATATTCTGCTTAAATAGAGTTGGATGTTCCGTGCATGCTAGGTTTTGCTGATTCTTCCCTGTTATTATAGGTTTGGTTCTAAGAGTATTTTCCGACCTTATCTCTGGTTAGGTCTTTACCTCGAGGGCTCCCCATTGCTGCTAGTTGGGGAGGCGTTATCCTGGCATGGTTGCTACCAAACTCGTGCGAGAGTCGCTTCTGGAGGTACGAATCATTACCATTATTTCCATTTACTCTTTTTTATAGGACTTTGTCTTATGGATATCTATTACAAGATCTTGAGCCTATTTTTCTTCCATGGGTCGGATTGGATGTTCCTGTAGGGGCTGTTCAGCATACAGCTCAGTGACACTACTTCTAGGGGACGTTTGACGCTACGGTGTATTTGGGTGAGAGAGTTGCGATTCAGCACTTCTTCGAGTTTTTCATCGTTCTGACTCGTCCTCCATCGCACATGATGGACCAGGTGAGTCTCAGGGCTCATATGGATTCGTCGCCAGCTGACGTTGAGTGGAAGAGGTTCATCCCCCTGAACTAGTATTATGCTGAGAGACTTTTGCCGCGATTGGCTCCACCACCTTGCATATCGGAGGAGGCAGAGGTGTGTTTTGCATATTTTTATTTATCTTTTGGTAGCCCTCAACGATGTTTAATTGTTGGAACTTTATTTTCGTAGGCTGCTGTAGAGGCTGTGAAGTTTGTGCCTCCGACCATGTCCATCACCTATCAGGGGTCTGATAGGCGTCTAGTGGAGAGATCGATTCCTTAACATCAGACCTGGGTGGGTTTATCTCATGTTTCTGTCTGTATGTATGTTTCAATCATTTCTAATTCTTTTCCCTTTGCAGTTTACTCACGAGGTGATGACGAGGATGGCGAGAGCTATGAACGCCTTTCGTTATTAGTTGGTGAGGTTTAGCCATCAGGCATCATGCCGTCGAGATGGTGGTGCGAAAAAGGTACGTCTCTTATCTTATATTGTGTTTGTCTTTCTTTTGTTTCTTTTATTTAACTTGGCTTACTGTTAGATTTGAGTCTGTTTCTCCGAATTGCACTCGTTCCAGGCCAGAGGGTAGAAGGAAGAGATATTCATAGTGATGGTCCCAAGACTCGCACTTGAAAAGTAGTAGCAAGCTCAGTGACTCTCGTCAAGACATTCATAGTGATGGTCCCAAGAGCTTGATGTCGAGTGTTATTGTAAGCTCTTATGCCTTATGTTGATGGGGAAAAGTCCTCATCTCTTATTCCAAACATTCTCGCGGTTCAGAGTGGGCAAACATTAATTGCCGACCCATTATCTTCGAGGGTCATTGGAACGTTCATCCTTTTGTAAATGGCTATGAGGTTCAAGGATTTATTGTGCTTATCACCTTCAGGAGGTAAATCCTTGTCAGAAAAGGTGATCAAGTTGATGGGACTGGGTAGATCACTGGTGAGGAAGTTAGCCAAACCTTTAGTGAGGTTTTTGAATTTATCCCTACTTTAGCCAAGGCATCCATTACTGTGAGCCTATGCTCGTGGGATGTGGCTAGGAGTTTCCATATGTTCATCTCTACCTTAGTCTTTTGCAATTGTTTAACAACATCGTTGTCTTCTATAATTGGAATAGGGGGACTTGTTGAGTGGTAGGAATGGGTTGATTCGTGATGGGAGGTTGCATTCTCCCTGATCTCGTGAGGACGTCGATAGAGGAATCTTCTTCATCCCAAATATCATCGACTGGATACATCGTGGAAAGTGAAGTTTCTTCTATGTCTTTGAGGTAAACATCCTCATCATTGCTTTCCCAAACTCCATTGATGCTAACATCCTTTTCTGTCCGAATTTGAACCAACTTTTTTTTGTCAATTAATCTTTGGACTAGATCCTTGTATTTGAAAGTGTTT